ACACATGTGGTAGTATTGTCTACCTTACTGTCACACAAACACATGTGGTAAAGTATTGTCTACCTTACTGTCACACAAACACATGTGGTAAAATATTGTCTACCTTACTGTCACACAAACACAAGCAATTGTGGTGAAGTATTGTGTACACTACTAACATGGAAACACAAACAATTGTGGTAAAGAATTGTCTACTCGACTAACACAAACACCACAGTTCCCCAGTTTGTTTCGCTGAAAAATTCTGTATGCAGACACAGGGTGAAAGTTATAAAGTGCCTCAGTTGGCTGCCAACTTGGCACAGACCCAACACAGTAGTACATAAAAAGGTGTCCAATAGATCTATCCCATACCTACGTCATTGTTTGTTTAACGCAATGCATTCTGGGGGAAACCAGGGGTCGAATCAGCCATCTTGGTTTTATCCCCCTTGATTTACAAGGGTTGTGCGACACAGCTGCAGTTCTTTGCTGTAGGCCAAAAGAAATCTAGAGTGTGCAGAGTTGTGTTTCAACGACGAGACCACATTTTCTTTGCGTTTATATCAGCATTCAGCTGCTGATGAGAAAATAAAACTTTGAAAAATAATTATCAGAATGAAACCTTGCGAACCGAATCTAAATAGACCAGCGTTTGTAGCTTGCATTTTTCGGGTTGGCAGAAGATTTATTTAAATCGTGATCCGTGACCAACTGAATGGCCTTCGGTGATCGAATAATAATAATAAAAAAAACGTCAATCCTTCGAATCGGAGACTCCAAATGTACTGTACCATGGCAAGGATGAATCCTGAAGCCATTGTCATCCAATATTCTCAAACATTGGTCCAGTTGTCAGACTCCGGAATACCACAACCAGGAAAACTAGTAATTGTTTTTTCGGTTTGATCAACTGATAATTTTTTCAGTAAAACTATATAGTATAATTCTATAGTAATTTTTAGCAATGATATAAAAAATGGTTAATACCTTATGACGGCACTAGTGCGCTCCTTAGCAACTTGAGGAAATTTATCTATAGAAATAAATACTTTCTTATTTCATGAAATCCGAACAAATAAGGAGGGAATATAACTAGCATAATACCATGACGTTTCTGAAGACCGTCGGCACAGATTAAGGTTTAAATGCTTAGTGTTTTTCCTTTTATATTTTCATTCCTATGGTACCAAGAACTTACACAATGTTGCTATAGATTTTCAATTACTGTTTTAAGCATATTTTGACACAGCAAGACAGTCTTGACGAAACAAAAATATTTGTGAATAAGAAACAAACGACTACGATATTCAGGCCTATTGAGAAATCATCCCATTCACCACCATGGCATGACTTCGTAAAATATAGTGAGTGTCGGCCTTTGGAAGAGAGCCCAAGCACCTACTTCAGGCCTCGTCACTCACCAAACTACTGCCCCACCATACATGACTACTTCAGGTCTCGTCACTCACCAAACTACTGCCCCACCATATATACCTACTTCGGGCCTCGTCACTCACCAAACTACTGCCCCACCATACATGCCTACTTCAGGCTCGTCCTCCCCAAACTACTGCCCCCACCATACATGACTACTTCAGGCCTCGTCACTCCTGGCTTCTGCCCTTGCCTACTTCAGGCCTCGTAACTGCCCAATGCATGCCTACTTCAGGCCTCGTCACTCATCAAACAACTCCGCCCCACCAAGCATGCCTACTTCAGGCCTCGTCACTCCATCAAACAACTGCACCAGCATTACTTCAGGCCTCGTCACTCATCAAACAACTGCGCAATGCATGCCTACTTCAGGCTTCGTCTCACTCATCAAACCGCCCCCAAGCCCCTCCGCCTCCTCATCAACAACTGCCCCACCAAGCATACCTACCCCAGGCTTCGTCACTCACCAAACTACATCAACACCTCTTCCTCCAGCTGCAAATGCATGCCTGCTTCAAGCCTCGTCACTCATCAAACAACTGCCCCACCAAGCATACCTACTTCAGGCCTCGTCACTCATCAAACGCCCCCACGCTACTCTGGCCTCCTCACTCATCAAACATCTGCCCCGCAAGCATACCTACTTCAGGCCGTCACTCATCAAACAACTGCCCCACCATGCACGCTTACTTCAAGCCTCGTCACTCATCAAACAACTGCCCCACCAAAGCATACCTACTTCAGGCCTCGTCACTCATCAAACAACTGCCCCACCATGCACGCTTACTTCAGGCCTCCTCACTCATCAAACATCTGCCCCACCAAGCATACCTACTTCAGGCCTCGTCACTCATCAAACAACTGCCCCACCATGCACGCTATCGCGCCTCGTCACTATCAAACATCTGCCCCACCAAGCATACCTATTTAGGCCTCGTCACTCACCAAACAACTGCCCCACCAAACATGCCTACTTCAGGCCTCGTCACTCATCAAACAACTGCCCCACCAAGACATGCCTACTTCAGGCCTCGTCACTCATCAAACAACTGCCCCACCAAGCATGCCTACTTCAGGCCTCGTCACTCACCAAACAACTGCCCCACCAAGCATGCCTACTTCAGGCCTCGTCACTCACCAAACAACTGCCCCACCAAGCATGCCTACTTCAGGCCTCGTCACTCACCAAACAACTGCCCCGCCTTACCAACGTCATAGACAATATGTCCACTTAGGTATCAGAGACTGTCTCTCGGGTCCTGGTGAAGCAGACCATACTGTATACCTGGCAGTTTATACCCAGCTATTTTAGGCCAAGATCATTTGAAACCTCTGGTATAAAGTGGGGTGCTTAAAGTTCAATTAATCCCTAGGATGCCTAAGGTTCAGTTGATCCTCGGGGTGCCTAAAGTTGAGTTGATCCCCAAGGGTGCCTAAAGTTCAATTGATCTATACTCTATAAAAGGCTACGGCCTATAGTTCACTGTTATCTGTCATACATTTCATTGGCTGTGCCGACATTTATGATCGGTGGGCGAGGGTTCATATTTGCGGTGACTTATCTTCGAATCAAACTATCTTTCGACTCGGATTTCTTTACAGTACACCCTCAACAAATAAACCATCGATCTCTGAACACTTAAAAATGTCCCACTAACATCACTTTCCAGCAAAATTACATGAGCCTCCGCCAAGTCGAACAAAAACGAACCCAGACTTCCCCCAGAATGCATTACGGTATACAAACCCTCTAGTTGGCCAGATATCTCAGATCAGGAATAACGCCAGCTGGTGACTAAACAAGTCCTCGTTGTTTTCCAGCCTCAGCCTCATGGTGGCAATAACATATAATAGAGGAAACTTCACAACAGTTACCAATTACTCTTGGCCACTAAACCTAAACTCTCAACCATCTCCAACCGTGTTCTTAGTTCCATACTGTCCGGAAACCTCACCAACATACACCTTTCATTAGCAGTTGTTACGTCATCGTCTTCTATACCTACAGTCCTGCCCAGATAATGACGTTGATCTCTACTAAGTTCCCGGAAAGACATTCATCCCCGTATTATTCCCTCAAGGAGGACGCTCTTATGTCATCATCCTTACTAATCTCCTCAGCTTCCGCCAGCCTAAGCTTAAGTCCCACCACCTTAATATACTGTGGCTTTGATGTCATTCCCCCTAAAACATAGCATTACATGTTGTATACTGTATATCACTCCCTGAACGTCTCTAATCCTTCAATTATCGCCTTCCAAACTTTTAACAT